GGACAGGAGAGCCGGCCAATGGGGGCACCGGATGGGCGGTACGGGGAACGCCCGCCCGGTGACGTAAGGAGACGCGTCCGCCGGGCGGGAGTTTTAAAATGGACTCCCTTCCGCTCAAGAGGGGGGAGGGGAGAGAAGGAGTTGGGCGGCAGCCGCAAGGAGGCTGGTTGCCAAAGAGGTGGGGGTCGGGAGGAACCACCCCCCTTTTTCTTGAGCCCAGACTCGACAGTTCCCTAGGCTGGGGAGCTAGCCCGGCGCCGAGTGCGGGCGGGCAGACGCCCGGCGGCCAGCTCGACGGACGGACCCAAGGTGACCACCCCGGGGGGGGTGGGTCGGAAGGACACCGGAGGAGGGGAAGGAAGTGGCCCAGGGCAGAGCTCATTAGAGCTGGTGGGCTGACGAGTTTCGGCAAGGAGCCCCGTCAGCCGGACCGGAGCTGTGTATCTCCGTGTCCTTAGGGCCCTGGGCTGGGGCCCGTGAGTGAGGGAGGGCCCGGGCCCCCCTTTCCCTCCCCCTCTCCCTCGGGAGGGGGAGAAGCATTTGAGATAGGAGCCGGCCGTGCAGCGTCATAAGTCACGGCCGACCACCAGAATCACTCCCGGGAAAACGGGAAGCCTGATCCCGAAGGGGGAATCAAGCCACGCGGGGTGTGGACATAGGATCCCGAACCGGGGCCGGGAGGTGCCTCGGTACACCCAGGCAGGCTCTCTGCTTGCTTCGCCCCACCTACACCTCACTCAGAAACTTGCTTTAAAATCTGTGAGCCTGGAGTGGAGGGGGAAGGCTTTAGGATCTGCTCCCGCCCCCAGCTCAATCCCATTAGCCAGTTTTTGGCCAGAAACCGGCCAGTGGAGCTGCCTATTTCAATAACAGGCAGCCAAGAAGCACCACACCTCTTTCCTCTGGGGCTGGTAGTTATTCACAAAGCACATGGCGATAGCATGTACATGGATGGAGCAGGCAGGCTGCTTCAGGAAAGTGTATGGCTGCAGGCTGGTAAGACTTCTGGCCACAGCCTGCTTCTGGCACCCCAGCTCTTCCTCCCCCAACTCTCTGCCTCCCACATTCCCAAATCCTCTGCCTCCCTCCTGCACCCATATCCCTTCCCAGATCTGGTACCCCAATCCTCTGCCCCGGATCCTAGTCCCCTCCTGTCCTAGCTCACAACCCATATCCCTGCGCCTCCCTCTGCACCCCAGTCAAGTGGTCCAGGTCACAACCAACTCCTCCACCCAAACTCCCTCCCTTACCCGAAGTGCCCTTCTGTGCCTAACCTCTACCCCAGACCCCTCACTTCCTCTGTTAATACCATGGAAGAGTGCGGCCCTCAACCACTTTCCAAATTCTTCAAGTGCCCCCACCCCCATCAAAAATTATTGCCCACCCCTGCTCTAAGGGCACAATGGGACATGTGATTAAATATCCATGGGAGGATCCAGTTTCCAAGAGGGGTGAGTGATTGGTGCTTTGCCTGTCTGTGTTAAGGGTTACATTTGTGCTGCTATATTGGGGCACATTCATAAGGAAGACAAAGTCTTAAATTCGACATCTGTAATCAGGGCTGTAGTTGGCTCCTTAGGTATCAAATGTCAGTGGCTACTCTCCTGTGTACAGCCAGTTTATTAGAATGGGTGAGAGGTTGAAGAACTAGTGAAATCTGCCTTGAGTTGCTGGTTATCTGGTGGAGTATGTGGGTTGATCTGGTTCCAGAGAAAAAACTCTTAGATACAAGTTGTCACAAGCATAGGAAATGATGTGCTGTGAGAAGAGAGATCTGTGCACAGATAGACCATACACAAAAAGTGGGAAAAGAATATTACATTCTTATATCTTGTGCAAAATATGCCTGTTATTTCCCGGGTGCAACAGAGTTTTGTGTAGAAAATTTTCATTTAATTAGAATAAAATTAAGGCATTTGGTTGTTTGAGAAGAAGGCCCTTTTGAATTTTTATTTTTTACAACTTACACAACTTTAAAATGTAATTTTTTATTATTTAAAAATTAAAATAACTGTAGTTAATTTGTGTCCCCCCTCCTTGAAAGAAGTGTGTAGAAGTAGCAGTATTCCAGAAGTAGCAGTATTCCAGAAAGTTACAAATAAACTTTTAAAACTATTGCAGCAACTGCGAGCTAATATCCGAGAGATGGAGAAACTTTGTTTACGGGTTCGACTGGAAGATAAACAAACTCTGCAAAGAATGATAAATCCAGTTAAAGAGGAAGCTTCATTTGCCATAAAAGAATTTCTACAACTCCATTCAGAATCTGCAGAAGAACTTAAAAGACAGTTTAATGAACAGGAGGGCACCTCTTTAAAATCTCCTCTAATCAGCTCTGCAACAGTAGGAGGAGGTAATAGAATTTCATTTTTCAATTAACTGAATTGTGGTATTTTTGGATTTACTTATGATCGTATATTTGCTGGGTTTTCTGACCAGATATTGTGGGACTAAATAGATGAGACTTCAGTTTAGTAAAAAATAAATTATTCCTGTATGACAAGAGGTGAATATAACTTTTATATACCACAGTTTTTTCACTATTTGTGGAATACAGATTCCTACTGCCGTGTGTGTAGTTAATAATTGGTTTAATCAGCTATTCAAGGAGAAGAAAAAAATGGTAGCCTAGTAAATGCAATTAAGTAATAAGAGCACTACATTGTACAGTACAAGCAATCTTGGAGATATTGTAGTTTTCTTTTTCCACTGCTCTGTAATGGTAACCACTTACTACATTTTCATTTAATTCATTATCTAAAACATCAAGATGAAAACAATTCTGATATCATCACTGAATGCCTCAATCAGGAGATGTAGATATAAAGTTGAGTATAAAGTGCTGGTGACATAAAAGTTTATCTTCTATGTAATTGGCAGTGAAGCAATAAACGTTCAAGACTATTATGTGAGATCTTGAAAGCATATTATATTATGTTATAGATCATTCAAGGATGGGTCTGGTTAACTTGCCACTAGCTTTTTCTGATTTCTCTACTTTCAGGCAAACTGTGTGTTGCACTTACTTTCTTCTCTTACTCCCCCTCCCCCCTGCTTCCCTTCCTTACATTTCAAGCCAAATCTGCAGTAAGCTGCTAACTTCTGAATTGCTCTTGAGAAGGACTGACCATTAGAATTAAGCCAACGCATCCTCATACCAAAAAGTATGAAGATTAGTATTGGTTAAGATACTTTACAAATCTCACGTTTTTTAATTTAAAAAACATACTTTCATTCAGTAACCTCACTACGTCATACAGTACAATTTCCTATCAGGACATTTTATCAAATCTAGCTGTTGCATTTATAAAGTGATAATCTTCATATTATCTAGTTCTGTCTCCTTGTTGACATAGAAGTTCTTTCTATAGGGAACTGCAGGGAGAATTGTGTGCAATGTCACCAGCAAGAGGGAAAGTCTTTTCACAGCCAAAAAAAGATGACAAAATAAGTAATAAATGTGAAATGTCTTTTTTAAAACAAGGTTAGCATCTTGATCTGAATGATTATAGTGTTTTAATTATAATGTTAAAAACATGGGTCATTTTGGATCAGTAGTTAAAAAACAAGAAACTGATCAGAATTTTTGGAAGGACAGGCATTTCTATAATAAAATATTGGAATGATACTGACAAGTTAGCTCAGGAATGCAGATGTAGTTCACCTCAAGTAAAGTGAAGCAGACAGTTTGAGTATAATTATATAGGATTTTTTAAAAAAGTTTGTCTGAATATGAAAGCAGCTCTTTGAATTCATGGGGCAGCTGTAATATAACATTGCCTGTTCTTTTGTATTTGGAGGCTGCAGATTGGAAAGCAGATCTTCGCTATGAATCTTAATCAAAGAAACTTCCTTACACTCCACTTCTTTTTAGCATGTTGCTTCCAATCTGGCAGAGAAGTGAAGAGTTTACAAATTCAAATAGCCCATTTAGGAGAGGTGTCAAAGAAATGTTTCAGCCCTTTCCACTGTCCCCCATCTCAAGTCCAATAGGAATCTAATTTAATTCCATTTTAAACAAATATTAACAAAAGGTGAGACTCCACTTTTAAAATTACTAACATTCTTTTTAACCAGTATATTGAATTTTCCCAAGAACTAGATTTTTATCTTGAGTGTAATGAAGTGTGAAGGCACTTTGTAAAGTATGCAGAGGTGTGTTTTGTTACTGCAGTTCTGAGGAGATATAGCTGATGTTGAGGAAGCATATCCATTCCAAGTCCTATCACAAACTTTTTGCATGCAAATTTCTCATTTGTCGTTTCAGTCCATAGGTGCTCTTTCTTTTGTTTTTGAAATGGGGAGGGAAATTTTTTTTTGGGGAAAAAAAAAACCTGGCTGGAGCCTTCTTACAAGGTGCGAAATGCTCTTGAAGGTGGAGAAGTCAAGAAAGGCTCATTGTGTCACTTAAACCGATGATGGGAAGCTCTGAGGAGTCATCCTAATCTGGTGCAGAATAGGTCAGCAGAGAGGAGGCAATTGTATATAAACCTTTTTGAGGCCATTGTAGATAAGGGGCTTTTTCTGTATCCACAGTTCTGTTTAGGAAGCTTCTTTACTCTTAGATTTCTGATAAATAGTTTTATTCGTTATGCATGTTGGCTAAGGCCATGTATACACCTCAGACTTTTTGATCAGTGCAAATGATATGAATGTAAAGCTGCTGTAGCTAGCAATCACACATGCATGTGCATACTTAGCTGCTTGCATTGGCGCTAAGTGTGGTGCACTAGTGGCATGTCTCCTAGTGCAGTTTTCACCGATGACTCCTGCTGGGAACTGTGAGCAAGAGTCAAGATCCCATCATGCAGTTTCTCTTATCGTGCAGCTTTCCCTATCTCATCAACCATTCCTAAAACAGAATTGCAGTGCCTTTTTAAAATCCTACAAACCCACCCCTAGTACTTCTTTGAGAAGAATGGCTCTCCCACAGCTCTGCAGTGTTGATGCTGCAATCATAGGAAGAACAATCTAGTACTTGCACACCCGCAGGAAGTATTTATTACAACAATGGGGCATATGAAGATTTTTCTGAGGACAGATTGCTAAAGAATATAATGAGAAACCATTCAAAGTTGTTGATGGCATTTATAGATCAGCTACATGTCATAAAGCACTGTTTGTAGGCCTGAGAAGTGAACAACTGAGGCTATGTCTGCACTGGAAAGATTTGGCAATGGAAGTACTGTTGAGAGTCATAAGCTGCCAAAAAGAAAGTTGCCAAATCATATTTACACTGCTACCCTCTGCCAACATATCATGGCTACATTGTTAGCTCCCCCCATCCACACAAAGAGCAAAGCAATGTGGGTATGCATCCCACAGTGAACGGCATCACCTTCAGTCACTAGGCACTGTGGGAATGTGCAACGTAGCGCCAGGCATTTTAGGAATGTGAAGAACATCCCATTAACCACTTATTTGCTTCCCAGCCCTCCTAGAGCTTTTGGTTTACTTTTGCTCCATTTTAAACTGACAGCTCTTGCTGCTCACTCAAGCATCTGCTGTGAGAAATCATGGATCCTAGACTCTTCTCCCATGTATTCAACGTGCTTAGGACATTACACATTGCAGCAGCGCTACTTATGCACTTAGTATCAGAGGAAGAAGACTCGGTTGCGGATGACAATGCGAGTGACGGGGACAGCAGCAAAGCGTCATTGCATTGGGCTGTCACAGAGCAGCTGTGCAGAGGAGAGTGTCACTTTTGGGCTAGAGAAACCAGCACTGAGTGGTGGGATCGCATTGTCATACAGGTGTGGGGTGAAGAGCACTGGCTACAGGGCTGTAGGATGCTTAAAGCAACCTTCCTGGAGCTGCGTGCTGACCTGACAATTGATTGTACTTTTAGTAGATTGCAGGGACATTGGTGGTGTTGACTCTCTAGATTAGATTTCAGTGAGAAAAATATCCCAATATTTATACTGCCTGTTGTGATCTGCATATTATCTGTAAGACAAAGAGGGGAACAGCTGCAGTTCTTGTGAAGAGTGGAGGTAGAGCAACCGTCTGCAGAGTTTGAATAGCCCAGATGCAAGGATCATTAGAAGAGCTCAACATGAAGCTCTTTGGCTCAGGGAGGCCTTGAAAAAGCAGTCAGTCACAGTAAAGTGCTATGCTAGATAGTGCTCTGGCAGGCTCTGCAACTTTGGGGGTTGTTAGAAACTGTGTACTCCTCAGTATCGATATATTTATAACTATCACATTGTCTTAACAAACCCATGAAATAAGTGGTGCTTGCATAAGAACGGATGTACTGGATCAGACCAAAGGTCCATCTAGCCCAGTATCCTGTTTTCTGACAGTGGACAATGCCAGATGCCCCAGAGGGAATGAACAGAACAGGTAATCATCAAGTGATCCATCCCCTCAGGGCCTCCCATTCCCAGCTTCTGACAAATAGAGGGTAGGGACACCACTCATGGCCCTATCCCTCATGAATGTATCTAGTTTTTTTTTCAACTCTGTATATAGTCTTAGCCTGCACAACATCTTCTGGCAAAGAGTTCCACAGGATGACTGCATTGTGTGAACAAAGACTTCCTTTAGTTTGAATCTGCTGCCTATTAATTTCATTTGTTGGCTCCTAATTCTTTTGTTATGAAAAATAAATAACATTTCCTTATTCAGTTTCTTCACACTAGTCATGATTTTATAAACTTCTGTCATATCCTCCCCTTAGTCATCTCTGTTAAAATCCAAATGATCAACATCACGTGTCAAACTATACAATGTAAATGTCCTTAAACAATTTCTCAAACAACATTTTTCTTTCTTTACATATTTGTAAATTCTGATTATCCATTGAAATATTTTTTTCACTGTTTGCAAGTAAGGCTAAATCAATATTTATCTATATTTACAGATAAAAATCTAATCCTTTCAAGCCTGCCTATATTTATTTTTCAGAAGCAACATCTCTATGTTCTTATGTAACACTTGCAAAACTTTAACTTCTCGAATCTCATTAAATAATTGTCTGGCCCCATCCACCATAATTTCCTGTAACTGAAAATTTATAAAGGAAGGCTTACCAATAACATTGATAGTAGTTGAAATTCTCTCTCTCTCTCTTTCTCGATAAAAAGATAATGTGTGTAAGGTTTTTTTTTTCTCTTATGGCACAAACTTTTGTTGGTGGAAGAGACAAGTATTTGAGCTTTACAGAGTTCTTCCCGAGATCAAGCTAATGTAAGCAACCAAAGTACATTTAAACAACATAAGGTCAGAATCACAGGGAATATAATCTTAACGGCACCATTCACTAGTAGACATGCATTTAAACTGTCAAGGTTCTAAGGCCCTAGATTTGCACTACCTTGAATCTTCTCCCTCCCCTCCCTTACAGAATAG